CGATGCAATAGTTTGCACTGACAGTAAACAAAAGCATTATGATTTCATCTTTCGCTTGATTTTCTTTCTTCTATTTGGGAAACAAAATCAATGTAACATTTTGAAATTATTAATGCTAAAATGAACATTTCACATTTTTGAAGAATATTTCACATTTCATGTTTTTGTCCATACATTGAAAGTCAGTGGGATCCAAAACAACACTTTGACATCACTGACCTTTTTTCAGATTATCTTCTTTTGTTCCACAGAAGAAAGTAAGTCATACAGGTTTGAAATGACATGAGAGTGTTTAAATTGACTGAATGTTCCTTTTCGGATGAGTTATCCCTTTAATAGTAAATATGTTCTGCACTGAATTACATATTTAACTCAGATGCCTCTGATACAGTGATAGAAGTGAACTGGTCTTGACCAGAAAGGGACACCCACATTAACCTCTGGATGAAGTATCTGTTTCTCAGCTGGAGATCTTTTGATGGAGGGTGACCAGAATAATACCTGCTTCTGAACTCTTTAGCCACAGGCTAAAATTCAGGGTTTCCCTGGAGCAGAGCATTCCAAATACTTAGGATTTGCCTTTAATGGAGCCCTGTGGTGTTTTGCAGGGATCAGTGCAGGGACACAACCAGGGAAAAGAGAAATGTGAAGATGTGAATTCCCTTACCCACCTCAGTGACTGCTTTTGAGATCTACTTTCATTGTTTTGCGTGTCTGGTAATACAGACCACCACAAATCAGCTCTGAACTATTTTTCGAACAGAAAGTTTGGACTTTATGCAGGCACACTGTGTACTCAGGAGAATAAAATAATACAAAGAGCCTTAAATTGCTCGTCATTTTTGGATCTTTTAGTATGTAGAAAATAGCCGCGTTTCCATTACAGATTTGTGCAAAACTTTTGCAATATTTTCTAAATGTTGATAAAAATCTATTGCGAAATCACGGCTTTTCTATTAACCGATGTTATGCGACTAAAACATTATTTTTTTCCTCTCGCGATAAGTCGTTCCAAAAATCATGGCGACGGATGTTGGTAGGTTTATGTATATCCCAGCCACCGCACTTGTCATTATTTTTAATCGATGGAGACGTAGGCTTGTTATCCAAGCATTAATGGCAAGGAAAGCCCTTTATACGTAGTGTATGAGGTGTTTCTAGGTGTTTCTCCCTCCTATCTGCTTCAAGGTCTTGATGAATTGTGCCATTCCTTTGTTGTTTAGTGTCTTCCCGTAATACTCTTCTGTCCAAATATACTGCGTCATCTTTAAAGAATGATCGACTTGTACGTACGCCAGGGTACCTGTAAATGCGAAAAAACTGTTTGCAGTTTTGCGAAATATTCCTTTTTCGAATTGCCTGAAAAACCACCTCATGTGAGCGTAAAAACTTTTTTGCGATATATGGGAGTTTTTGCTAAATTTATGTGTTTCCATTGGGCGTATTTTCAATGCACAATTTCAATTTGCACAATGAAGGGTCATGAAACGCAGCTATTGACCTGCACCATATCTAAGCATGATCTTATTAAATACGGGGGAAAATATGAAAATGTCCTCCAACTCTCTAAACATTTCATATATGCTAGAATGTCTTCAAAAGCAAGGTTTTCACTCTCTCATGCCACCTTGAGTGGCTGAATGCTCATTGTTCTGATTTTCAAACCACCTGAGTGTGAGGGAGTCCTTGCAGATGTACTGCATTGAGAATAAAAGGGGATACTAAAAACGAGATACATTTGCAACAGACCCTTTGTCATTATATTTCAATTTTCTCTTTGTGAGGTAATGGAGAAGTGAAAGCAAATGAGAGGAAAAAGGAGATGAGGTTTTTTAACTGCTTGTTTTTGTCATGCCTTATTGAGTTCTGTACCAAACTGTGTTCCAATCTTTTCTGCTTGTTGATTCTCATTGGTCGCGGGTTCTCCAGTCCACCTTTTAACACATTAGTAAAGCTATGTGACTACAGTCTGAAATGAATTAGCATTATTATGAGGGTAATATTAATGTCATGTTTATACTTCCCAGGTAAGGACGTAGGTCAAACATCTCAACTGCAACCTAGATCAGGAGGTTACACCTTTCTGTTAGGCCGGGAATACACTGTGCAATTTCAGCAAGGTTACCAACTCACACTGTACGAGTAAATCGCATGCGATGTAAACTCACAATTTATGTGCTCACACAATACGATCCGATCGTCGAGCTGCGACTTAACTGCTCACACTATGCATGTGAAATATGTGCGATAACCCCCGTGCCGGTTGCGTCAATAGACCATGAAATCCTGTATCCAGAGATATTGTCAAAAGCATCGGCTAGATATCAATTTAGCATTTCCAATTGATTTATTAAATTCTGGCATGTCAGAAATTCTTCCGACCATCCGATTGCCAGTCGGAAGAGGTTAATCGCCTCTCGTTTAGGCTTTACACAGCATTATTATAGTTTATTATAGCTGTGCACAGAATTTGGTACAATTTCAGTGTGCATTTTATATTAAAGATAATATGGCATGTATCACCCCTTTGGAATGAGTATTTGCTGAATTCCCACTGAATAAATGTAACTCAAATGCATAATGGGTCTTCAGAATTCAAACGAAAATGTTCCAGTTTTGACAGTTTAGCAAAATATTTGGAAAGACAATTTGCAAAATCCATAAAAATGTCTTGCACAATTTTAAATGTCAGAAATGTCATAATGACCATTTTATATGTGAACATAAGATTTTAGTGACTCGTTTCAAGATTCTTAAAATGCTGTATCATTTGACGTCTTGTCAAAAAGGTTTTCCATGATCACAATTATGTCTTTGCCTAAATCAATTCATGCATTGAGTTAGTTGGGTGACTACAGGTAATGCGGACAACTAGTAAAGTGGGTCACTCAAGTTTTTACATTTAAAGGGATAGTAGACCCAAATATGAAAAGTGTTATCTTTTACTCACTCTCATGGCATTCCAAACCTGTAAGATTTCTTCTGAGAAACACAAAAAAAAGATATTTGACATTTGTATTCCCTCTGAAGAAAAAAAACTCACACAGGTTTAGAATGACATGAGGGTTTGTAAATGATAATAATAATAATAATAATTCATCACATTTATATAGCGCTTTTCTGGACACTCAAAGCGCTTCACATAGAAGGGGGAATCCCCTCAACCACCACCAATGTGCAGCATCCACCTGGATGATGCGACGGCAGCCATATTGCGCCAGAACGATCACCACACACCAGCTTACTGGTGGAGAGGAGACAGAGTGATGAAGCCAATTGGTATATATATATATGGGGATTATTAGGAGGCCATGATGGACAGAGGCCACTGGGCAAATTTGGCCAGGATGCCGGGGTTACACCCCTACTCGTTTCGAAAGACATCCTGGGATCTTTTGTGACCACAGAGAGTCAGGACCTCGGTTTAACGTCTCATCCGAAGGACGGTGCTCTTTGACAGTATAGTGTCCCCGTCACTATACTGGGGCGTTAGTACCCACACAGACCACAGGGTGAGCGCCCCCTGCTGGCCTCACTAACACCTCTTCCAGCAGCAACCTGGTTTTCTCAGAAGGTCTCCCATCCAGGTACTAACCAGACTCAGCCCTGCTTAGCTTCAGTGGGCAGCCAGTCTTGGGCTACAGGGTGATATGGCTGCTGGCCAATGATGATAGAGTTTCATTTTGGGTTGAACTATGCCTTTAATATTTTTTCTTTTTTCCTCTCAATAGTGTAGCGGAGGCTATAAAAGTTTGATGTGAGAAATGTGGCATGCTGTTCCACTTGACCTGTATCGATATGAACAGGGTTCTCAAGTCTCACGCATTGGCCGTGAGACACACGCAATTCAACCAGTTCACACGCTCACATGCCATACCGTGTATTTCTCACGCTGAAAAGGCAATGCCAACCAAGTTGTCCTGCAAGCTTTATATATAACGTTGTATACGAGGCGCAGGCACACAAAGTGAAGTTTCCTGCCGCCAGCACGTATCTCTCGGCCAGATTGCGTTCGTTAGGCAACATAGACACGCGCGAACACACAGAAGTTGACGCAACATTCTCGGCCACCGTACGTTCGTTACTAGGTAACCAACAACATCGCGCAAACGCGTCGTGATGGAGAAGGGAAGAAAGCTCGTCTAAGATTTTTAGGCTAGAACATTTAATATATAGCCCATCGTATACATTATTATTGATGCAGTCAAAAACTCTACAACTACTTTGCAACCAGGCCAGAAGCTTTGGCTCAGTTTGGCTAGCTTACATTACCTGAAACTATAAGGGAAATGTTAGTGGGTATGGGAAGGAATGAAAATGTATTTCTTCATTTTATTTTAAATTATATATTATACTGTATTAATAGTCTTTCTAGTTACATTAAGGCTACATGTATTAAAGTTGAGTGCTCTGGGTAATATTTTATATCCTGTCAAAACATACATTAATAATTGTCATTGCATTTGTATTTTTCAAAGATGTCAGGGAAAAAGCTAAAGATATTTGTGTACACACACACACACACACACACGCACACACACACACACACACACACACACACACACACCTTAATACTCTAATATGTCCATTTGTTCACAATGTCCCACCACACAATAAATCATTATACCATTTCGACACATTCAAAATGCAAAAAGATTTGTTTTTCCAAACTGTTTGGAGCAATTTGTTATATTTTTGTAATTTTTGTATATTTGTAATTTTGAAATATACCATTAAAGAGTAGGCTATATTTGATGTGATGAATTGCTCTGTCATTTATCAGATTTACCAATTGTTATAATTTCAATTTGTGCTGGTTAATTATGAACAATGGGTAAAATTGGGGGGCAGGGCTGGGCGGGGGCGGGGCTCCATTGGGGCTCCTCCCTTAACCGAATGGGATCTCACTCCAAGCTTTTGATAAAACTTGAGAACCCTGTATGAAGTTAGTTAATTCCAATCTCTCTATTGTAGTCTCATTGTCCTCCGTTCTGTCGTAGAGATTTGAGGTCCATCAGGACCCGATGGTGAGCGTGGCCCACATGGTACGAGCCGGAGGGGGCGTATGGATGGCCTTTTCAGAAGGTTCCTCTATACGCTTGTTCCATACGGAAACGCTGGAACACTTGCAGGAGATCAACATTTCCACACCCTCGTCATTTTACAACCCCAGTGAGTATCTCTCCTTTGACCCTGTGAATCTCCATTCATTTGAATATAGACATTTTTGTATGCCTTCACATGCTTGATCCGTGCTTGTTTCCATCTTTTCTTTGAACCGCTCTTCTAGTGATAAAAAGGTAATAACGGAGAAGTTCTTTTTGGAATGGTTCCTGTAGGCTGGCTCTCCAGGGATTGACCGTGAATAAGTAGCTAACTTAAGACCCCGCAGAGCAGTAATGGAGCTGTGGGGTTACAGGCAGGGAAAGTCACAATGGCACAGACAAAGCTTTCCATTTGAAATGTTGCCATGGCAACGCTCTTCTCATGACATCAGCAGCCGTGGCATGTTGGTAACGTGCCAGCGTTTTGCCATTGTGCCTTTTTTTTGTGCAGCTGGCCTTAAATTCTTCTACATTCACTTTTTTTTTTTTTTTTTTTTTACCTCTGAATACTCACCTTTAGCTGTCTTAATCTCCCTTGGATCCACTTAAATCTTAAAATGACCAAATTCTTTTTACTTCATCCCTCCTTTACTGTTAGATGAGATGTATATAAGGCAAAGCCTTCTGTGAAAGGTAGTACATGTAAACATTCATAATAAGCAAAGGCACCAAAAAGTGTAGTTTATAATATATTGTTTACATGTCCACGCAGCAAACTGTCGCTTCAATTCAATTCCAAGCCACACATCAGGCTATATAAAGAGAAAATCTGCAGCATCGCTCCAGTAGCTCGCAGAATCCTCCGGAGCAGAATAACTCCTTTCAGACGGTCTAATAATGTTTGATTTCACTTGAATGCGATCGTCCGCGTTTAGCCACGATTCTCCGGTTGTCACAGACAATTGCGATCAAGTGGAATACAAAGAAGGAGAACAAATAAAACCAAAGTGCTGTTGCAGACTTGAGGAACTGGCCAGAGCAGAGCTTTTTTTACAAAAATATATACCTCAGGTTTTTTCGTCAAAGACTGAGAACATCAAACCTTCGGATCAAAGTTACTGCTGTATTTCAGAAGACACGTGAAGGAGAAAAGGCGAGTATTGTGGCGAAGATGTCTGCGAAGGTCCTGCAACCCTGAGGCTGTTGTCAAACCTGCGCAGCTAGCTGTGTTTAAATATGTAGTTCATGTTAGGTGAGGTAACGCTACGATTATGTGTTATATCGGGGGGTTTACAGTCCACGGAGCACAAAAGTGAAAATAAGCTTTGGCAGAAGCTTTCTTCCCCCTTTTTTACCCTAGGCCCACAGAGCATCCCATTGGTTTTCCTGAATATGCTAATCCGCACACATCACACATAGGAGGACTGATAGAGTTATTACAGATCAATGGTCTGCTAATCCCACAGGTTTGCTTGCAAGTGATGGCTGATGAATTAATTATTGTCTTAAAGCAACCGATTATTCTGCAGTTTCTCATCAGCTAGAAAACGATAAGCAAGCCAGACATCTCTTTAACACACTGAGGCTGAATCCTTCCTCTTTAATAATAGCTGGAAAAGTCAGATCCTTGGGGAAAGTTGATATTATACAGAAGAGAATCTTTACATTTTTATAATAATATATAATATAATTATAATAATAAAATAATACATATTTAATTTTATATTTAAACTCCGCTTAAATTAATATTGTAGTTAGTTATTTTGTAAATTATTTTGTATAATAATAATACCATCATAAATAAGTGAACTGCAGTGTAAAAATCCTAAATAATTTCTATATTAAACATGCAGCTTTTATTACCTCATATCAATTGAACGTCAACATGAAATATTAAAATGAAATCAAATGCTTTGAAAAGAAATTGAAAATTGAGACTACATAAAATCTTGAAATTAACTTCAGTTAATTGAAAATAACTGTTATGACCAGTTATCTAAGACTTACACTTTCCCATATATTCAGATGACAACAAAGGTTCAACTTGTTAACATTAGTTAATGCATTCTGTGTCATGAACTAACAATTATTTACATTCAATTCATTCATTTTTACAGCATTTATTAATATAGGTTAATGTTTATTTATAAATATTCTATTGTTAATTCATCTTTGATTACAATACAATAATATTATACAACTTGAAATGTGAACATATTTGAATATATGTAGAAATTAACATTAATCAAGATTAATCAAATAAATGCTGAGATTGTTCATTCATGTTAGCTGTTTCACTACCTAATGTTAACGGATTCACTTAAAATCTCGTTGATTATGATGCAGAAAAAGTTCTAGTACACATTATGCATCAACTACAAGGACATCTAATAAAATATGCAATATGCATTTTTTTTCCCCAAACCTCAGCATCTTATGTTTTCAGCATTCATGAATTCATATGCATTACTGTACAACAGCAGATTTATTTGACAATATATTATCAAGGTGATCCCTCTTGCACAGAAACAGAATGTATAATAGGTGAATGTTCTGCAGAACTGGACAGCTGACATTTCTAAGAATGAGCTCTTCCTAATGCAATCCATTCGCTAATGTTTTTTCATGACCTTCAGTGATTTCCTGGTGACTAACTACCATACTGAAAATGCTTCATTTACACATTAGTCAAAGAGTTCTATGGCAAACTACAGACAGCATGCTGTGAAAATTAATCAATTAGCCACTTGCCGTTCATTCATGCAAAGCGAGCCATCGTCTATACTTGCTGAAGACTCTGCTGTGCTATTCTTCTTTGATTTAATTATACTCTGGTTGCTTTCTGGTTTCTGAAGTCCCAAGGTCAGGGATTTTTGGTATTGTGAATAAAGTCGTTAAAATGTTCCATGTTGCTTTTTGTCTAAACAACAGCAATCTAAATGTTGTCATACCTGCACACTGCTATAATTGACCAGTTCAATAAACCTGATGAGAGCATAACGGTGTGCTGTTTTTTTCACAGTTTTTTTCACAGGGTCTCCACAGAAACGATGATTGTTGATATAAAAGCAGAAAAGTGTTATTTATTTGTTTAAAATTCAATTCACATTTATTTGTATGGTGCTTTTCACTATGCATATAATTTCAAAGCAGCTTTACAGAAAAATGCATGTTTCTACATTACAATTTAAAGTAATCTGGTATCAGAGGGGACTGTTAAAGTGTCTGTCAAAAATGTAAAGTTCTAAGATAATACAAATCATGCAGTTGTAACAGTTTGACTCTTTGTTTATTTTGGTTTAGTCCTGTTCAGTTTTCCCGCTCCTCATTATCCCTCAGTTAATTCACCTGTGTCTAGCTTATTATCTTCATCCATGTCACCTGTCTCCTATTCATTATTGTCATCAGTCTCTGTATTTAGTTTCCCTCAGTTCATTCAGTCTTTGTCCATTCTCGTTAATGTATAGTGTGTGTTGTGGTTCCTGAGTTTTGTTTATTAAATCCTGTTTCCCTGATCATCCTCGTCTTCTCATTCTTCCTACCACCACGTAACGTAACAGAAGAACAGACCAAAAGATGGACTTGGCTGGCCATGACCTGACTGACTACCTCATCAAGATCTTGATTGAGAGAGGTCTCCGCATCACCATCACCCCAGTGATGGCTCGAGCCATCTTCGCCATGCCATCCATCCTCATCCAGGATCATGCGCCAGAGCCCGCTGATCCTGCGCCTGAGACCGCTGATCCTGCGCCTGAGACCGCTGATCCTGCGCCTGAGCCCGCTGATCCTGCGCCTGAGACCGCTGATCCTGCGCCTGAGCCCGCTGATCCTGCGCCTGAGACCGCTGGTCCTGCGCCTGAGACCTTCCCACCAGAGACCGTCCAGCCAGAGACCTCTTCGCCGCTGGTTCTGTCCAGCACCAAGCCCTCTTCGCCGCTGGTTCCGTCCAGCACCAAGCCCTCTTCGCCGCTGGTTCCGTCCGGCCCAGAGCAATCACCGCTGGTTCCGTCCAGCCCTGCCGAGCCTGCGCCTCACGTCAGCCACGCCGAGCCTGCGCTTCATGTCAGCCCTACAGAGCCTGCGCTGGTCCACGTCATGTCTGCCCAGCCAGAGACTGTCCACGTCACGTCTACAGTCTCGTTTGCCCAGCCAGAGACTGTCCACGTCCCGTCTGCCCAGCCTGTCGTAGTCCCAGAGCCTGTCCCTAATCCGGTTACTCACCCCAAGTATTTTTTTTGGGGGGGGGGCCATATGTCTCCCCCCCCCCCCACCCCATTGATGTTATACGGCGCGAGGACGCGCCTTTTTGGGAGGGGGCGTTCTGTAACAGTTTGACTCTTTGTTTCCCCCTGTTCTTAGTATTTTGGTTTAGTCCTGTTCAGTTTTCCCGCTCCTCATTATCCATCATGTATTCATTTAGTCAGAAACAATCATCTCATTAAAGCAATTATTACCAGGTTGTGATCATAATGATTACAATATATATAGTAAATTTGGCAGTGGCGTATATTGATTCAGAGTTTGGGTCATCTGAAGTCCTCGCAGGAGTTGGAGTCATCTCTTCACAGGTGTCGGGTCATCTGAAGTCTTCGTAATGATCCAAACTGGAGCTGGCGTACTCTCTAGTTACCTCGGGATGGACATCCCGAGATAAAACAGAAAAGCAAATGGAAAATAATTAGAGTAGCTGCTGTTCATAACATTAAGTAAATATAATCATGTGCATTTGATCTGATATTACTAGATTACAAGGATATGAGGTACATTATGTGAATGCTCAGCTAAAGAAATGTGTCTTTAATAGAAATTTAACCTGGGAGAAGGGAGTCTGATCCTCTAACATTATCAGGAAGGCTATACCAGAGTTTAGGAGCCAAATGCGAAAACGCTTTAAAAAAAATCTTTAGTTTAGTTTGTTCTTTTCAAAGTTGGCTAAAAATAGTATCATACTACATAGATATAAAGAAGTAATGATGGTGATACTTTTTTTTTCTTCTTCTTTTTTGTTCTTCTGAAGGTCAAAGGAGCATGAGAGTTACCAGCCTGCTGATTTGCCAGGGGCTGCTATGGGTGGGAACTGCCCAGGGCATTATCATCACCCTGCCTGTGCCCAAGCTGGAGGGCATCCCCAAAATTACAGGTACACAGATGGGGGCTCCTCATAAAACATAACTTGTCTTTAGTTCTTTTGGAAAGTCTCCTCTGCGGTAACAGGACAATTACATAATGATTTAAATAGTTAGCCCTTTGTTAAAAGAATAGTTAACCCCAAAATGTAACTACTGTCATTATTTACTCGAAACCATGTTGTTCCAAACCTGTATGGTTTTTCCTGTGGAACACAAAAATATAATTTTGTCTTTACAAAGGTATGTCAGTTCATTGTGAAGCTCCTAAAAGACTTCAAATGTCTTGTGAGCAAATATTTAATATGCAACCTGACATGACACACACATAAGTGTTGTATTTGATAAGAGCTGAAGCAGGAAGATTGCCATGAATAAATACGATTTGGGTCGATAAGATTTTATGTAATGTTTTTGGAAGAAGTCTCTTGTGCTCATCGAAGCTGCATTTATTTGATCAAAAATACAGCAAAAACAGTATTACAGTTTGAAATACCCATTTTCTATTTTATTACAAAATGTAATTTTTCCCTGTGATGTAAAACTTAATTTTCCGTATCATTACTCCAGGCTTCCGTGTCACATGATCCTTAAGAAATCATTCTAATTTGCTGCTCAAGAAACATTTATTTTTATTGTCAAATTTGTGCTGCTTAATAGTTGTGCTGATGATTATTATTATTTTTTAAAGATTTATTGATGAATAGAAAGTTCAAAATAACAGTATTTATTTGAAATATTTTGTCTTATTGTCACTTTTGATCAATTTAATACAGCTGAATATTTTTATTTATTAGAAAACAGCAGTAAACGGCAGTGTAATTTAAAAGTCAATGGACTACCTTTATGAGGTTTTTTTTTCTTTGTTTTTAATTATTATTTTTGGAGCAAGACATCTGGGGCATATAAATCTTCAAAATTATATCTTTTGTGTTCCGCAGAAGAAGAAAAAACTATCTAGGGGATGGGAACAAGCAAAGATTAGTATAATGACCAATTTTCTGAACTATTCCTTTAAGTCAAAGTCCTTTCTGTATGTAATATGCATTTAAATGTGTAATAATAGAAATCAAATTTAAAGCCGTCTGAGCTCTGTGTGTTTTACTGTGGCACAGGTAAGGGGATGATATCCCTTAATGCACACTGTGGGCCTGTGGATTTCTTAGTTGCCCTTTCCAGCACTTTATCTCCTGATCTTCTGAAGCGGGATTCTATGGTGGAAGGGCATGATTCGGCCTGTGGGGTGGAGGATCGGAGTGACTCGTCGTCTCAGGAATCTCTCCAGCAGCCCAGTGTTTCCGCCCATGTGGAGGGCAAAGGGAAGGGGCGGGGCTTGTTGCTACAGTACCGCCTCCGCTCAACCTCAGGGTTGCCCGGGCGACCGTTAACCGCACGAGGGGACGAAGCCTCAGACTCGTCTTTGGAATCTCTGGAACACAGCATGGAAGATGGCTCTATTTACGAACTCAGCGACGATCCAGACATGTGGGTCAGGGGTCGGCCCTGCGAGAGGGAAGGGGTGAGGAGGGACAGGGTAACCTCGGTGGCGGTCATCTCAGGCGGGAAGGGCTTCCGTCGACTGAAGGAGGGTTCGATGGCGGCCACCACAGAAAGCATGCTTATGATCTGGCAGCTTCCTCTCGCTGTTTGAGTTGAAATTATGTTTAAGGAATAGTGAAATTTAAATGTTGTCATCATTTACTCGCCCTCATGTCATTCTACACCTGCATGTTTTATTGTACTGAGATGTACTGGAGACTCCTTTAAATGCAATTACAATAAATGGAAACGGAAACAGAAGATTTAAAAAAAAAATCATTAAATATGGCCGTACGACTTATTCTTTTAAGTCATACTGTATATCTGTGTGATAAGCACTAAAGACTTAATTTATTGCTCATTTTTCTCTCAAGTGCATCAGTGTAACTGGATCATTGAGTCAGTGGCTATGTTTACATGCACACCTTTTGTTTCAATCGGACTGAATTCATTCCGATTGATGAATCCGAACGCAGTGTTTACGTGAACACTTAATAAAGTGATCAGGTTGATGTCACAAGCTTTAAATCGGAATTGATTTTTTTTTTTACATGCGCACACTGTAGTTTCCCGCTGTTTGCGCATAATAACTATTCTCCTACATTGATTCTTTATTAAACGGCAAACTTAATATCCGTCTCTGGTCATAATTTGGAGACAATGAGTATATGAACCGTTGTGCCGTGCTGCTTATATGTCTGTGGTCTGTGGATGAGAATCCGAAACAAGGACTGGTGGGACATTGTCCGACACCACTTCACCGACGCTGAGTGAAAGGAGAATTTTAGAATGGCGGGACTCTCATTTATATCACACTTTATTTAACAGGAATAACAGCTCGTCCTAACAGTCCTTTCAGTTCAGGTTTACAATCCGATCAAGCGTTTACATGTCCTCTCGATCGGATTAGAAAAGGAATAAACTATCCTTTTAATCGGATCGAAATTTCATTCGGATCGAGCTCAGTCGGATCGGTTAAGGTGTAGGCTTTTCAGTCCGATTGAGCCGTCAATCAGATTACTAAAGGATTATTTGGTTGCATGTAAACGTAGCCAGTGAGTTGACCTTGAAAACTGATTCTTGAACAAGTCATCCAGACCGATTTTGTGTACTGGCTCACCTGATTCATTTAAAGAAATCTGACTCAAAAGAAGAGTGGTTTACAAATCAGACATCACTAGGGATGGATGCCAAGATATTTGGTGAAGAATGGTGTAAGTTTTGATCTGTTTCTTCACACAAAGCTATCTGCGCTCCATTTTTGTGTGCTTTATTGTCATTTTGGAGCCTTCCAGCTCCAGTCCTCATTCATTTTTATAATACTGAAAAATGGTAACCAGGATAGTCGGAGTGAACAATGTAATTTGAGTTTGGAAAGACATGAGGATGAGTAAATGAAATATTTTTTCACTGGGCATGTGTGGTACAAAATGTGAGGCTCGCAACTCTACTGTTCACTATTCCAGAAAAAGAATGTCTCCTATATTAATTGATCTTGTGATTTTGTGAAATCCAGGTCCTCCGATGAAAATTATCGCACGACTCAGAGGCGCATGATAAATTGTCAGTTAATTCTCTCTGTCAATACATAGGAGGTGTTTTACTTACCGGTAGAGAATGCTGATCCATGTATTAAATCTCATTCCACCATAATCATGGCATAAACTATTCAGACAGAACATTTCCTTGAGGGCCTGAGTCTGGTCGACCTTTAGTGAATCATGTTCTTTGGAGTTAACCACGCCACAGAGCTGCTTGGGAATTTTATTCCCCCGCATCTGAAGAAATCATATCAGTGGAAAGTAAGAAGCAAAGTGAAAGGGTTTTCCATGCTTTTGCGAGTCATTCAGAGAATACTTTCACCCTTTGACTCTTGGTAATGTGAACGCATGATTCTCAGTTGAAAGTCAACCCTGAGCAGGTCAGTGTTAAAAGCTTGTGAAATGGGTTTCAAAACACTTGACTGGCTAAATTTCTTTCTTTTTTTTTCTTCTTCTTATAGACAACCTGAAAACATTTTCACCATATGGCAGTCATTACAAAACTTCTGCTTAAATCACCATTGCTTAACAAGCAAGTTCGTTAGCAGCTGGTGGTAGAAAGATACAAGCACCACTAATTGCAGGAAAGTTGTGGATCTTGTGAAGCTTTTGATGTTTATTTGATCTTGTTGAAGGGCATTCAATGCTGATATTTTGTGTAATATTGCAGTTCCATCTGCAAGCTACAGTTGGTTCTCGTCATTCTTTGTTCTTGTTTAATCCACATTTAAGACATGCAATAGTCTTCCATTGGGAATTGTGCAGATGCACATTATATTATGATAAAGGGAATTGACTGAAGTTGTTTTTGGTACAAATGAACAAGCAGATAAATAATAAATTCATTAATGAATAAAACTTTTACTTTAAACACCAGCTTGGCCAGAATTAGAGCCCAACTGAACCAGCATAGACCAGCAAACTCCACTAGTGTTCTTCAGAAATAGCTACTGAATAATATAGTTAAGTGATTTATTTTTCAACCCCTCACTACTTTGTCATCATGCATTTTTCATACCATGCAACATTATAAATGTACGAAATGTATATTTTGTCCTGGTACTGCAAACTTTTTAAAAACTGTTCAACTTTAATTTGTTTTTATTTGCAATTCAATGTAAAACATTTATGAAGGGCATAGTATCCCACTGGATCTACTAACTGTACCGCTACAACAGTCATTCATTGTTTGGATATTACATGTGTAAAGTAAAGTGAGTTAAATTTAACATGAATAATACAAATTGTGCATTGTCCATCCAAATTAAGTAACCACTTGAAGTTTCCAGTTGTGGCCCAAATGCACTGAATATTTAGGATTTTGTAATACTACCGGTAATAAAATGTAGACTTCATACAGTATGTTTGTCAATTCACTGTTACTGAAATTAAAACGTGTTAAAATTGACCTGTGTTTGATTCTTGTAAACAGCCGTGCTGTTATCCGTGCACATATTAGCTTGAAGTAAATGTGTGAAACCCGGAATATTCGAATATTCTGAATAAATGTATGTGTGTTGGGACGGTGTCAAACTCAACCGTTGCTGCTGCCAGAACATCTTAGATTTGAAAACAGAGTTCAGCACCCCTGCGTCCAGCAGTTACAGAAGTTTTTAATGGGGTTTCTTCCGGATTTGAATTATTCATAATGTCCTAATTTGCAAGCTGCCTCACTAAGAGTATTATCTTATGCATGCTATTCTGAACATCGCCAAAGACTGTGCTACTGTGTGTCTGTTTCTGGTCATAATTCTGCTGTCAGAGTCAGAGGAAATGAGCAGGTTCCGAAGTTCACAGATTCTCATGTCGAGCACCAGCTCCTTTTTGTTTGAAAAAGGGGTACTTGTGTAACCCAATGACTCTTGGGTGTATTCAGATGGCACATGAGAGGTGTAAACACAGCTGTGAGAGTGAAATGGAGGTTCTGGGTTGTGAGGACAGACCAAATCTCCTGCTGAATCTCTTCATCCTACTCCTGCTGGCTTCAGAACGCTGGCCTTAGGCAAATACACGACTCGGAGCCCACTTAACCCACGTAAGTGCAGTTTACAGCATTAAGGGTGTTTGCAGTTGTGATTTGCAACCAAATTGATTGTAGATCGCAGTTCTGTGAAACAGCTGCAGCTTACATGCTGATTTCCCAGATAAGTTTTATTTCGTTAAAAAAGAAAATCACCCAGGCAGATTATTTCCTGAGGAGGAAAACATCGAACAAGGCGAACTTCTGATACTCTGCATATTTAGTTTTACGGTCACAGTGACTAGTGTACTAAAATCACTTGTTAGACAACTTTGAGACAAATGAAGTCACTTTAGATTCATTCATTTTTAAATAAATTAATAAATAACTTCTATCTCAGAATATAGCCTTGGCATTGACCTTGTCAGTTTTAAGCCTGTATGTTTTTGCCGTAATATTATAAATTTGTCACATAGCATTACAGACACATTCATCTTTGCAGAAAAAGCAAGTCCCAGCAGTGGTTATTTCAATTGCTTTACAATTTGCATAAGTCATCTGCTCATTTTTTGCGAACCCTTGTAAAATATTCCAGTGGGACAGCAGCAGCACAGACAAACCGAGATCACATGGTGCCATATGCTGAGTCAGTCAGTAACGCGGGACGAGTCTGAACGTTTATTCGCCCAACATAAGCCAGTGATTGTATTAAAATGCAATTCAGCACTGCTGTACAGAGTTTAGAGCTAGAACGGTCATTTACCAGCCGCACTTTTGCCTTCGATTCAACAAAGAGAGCTAGGTTGCAATGCCGCCGTTTTGGCTGACAAACAGACCCGAAAACAGCAGATACACGTGTGTATTGTGGCACTAAAGGTGTCAATTAACCGCGTCCGGGGAGAGTTTTGCCTATCACGCAACACAGCTGTGAGCGCACCACATGCTCCTCGAGCCTTAGGAATAATTTACATGAAGATGAATATACTGCTGCTGAAAGCTTGTTTTATTTAAAAAAAAAAAAAATCACAAACATGTTAACAAAGAACGTCAGAGTTAATTATTCGTACAGATAATGCAAAAGGCTACTTTTCTGCTGCCCATATCTGTATTTTTCATTAAAATGTGTTAAAGAGGCATGTGACGTGACCAAGACGTTTTGGCTGAAAAAATCTAAAACGATGTTGACGCCAATCAGACCTGTGTGAAAGCGTAGCGTACACCGATGTATTAAAGGATGACAATTGGAGCATGAATTGGTAACTGACAGCTTAAAAGAAAATACAAAACTGAATTTGAATGGTGTTTTTCTAATTCACAGCCAGGTCTATCAATTGTTCATTTTACTCTGTCGGCTTCACTGACCATTGGCTCCAATGGTTAGTAAAAAATATATATTTTATTTGAAACCAATGAATCATGTACAAAATGAATGAAAATGTGATCGTCCCACACTGTGTTAGACACCTAGGAGGAGACGTCTGGCATATCCATCACATGTACAGTGGCCCCAAAAAGTAGTAGGACAGCTTGTTTAAATTGTTGGGAATTGTTAAATTAGAGATCAAGTATCAAACCTAGTGGGATCTGCAAACAAACTAACTTTTCTACCGATCAATCATTCAATCAATCCATCCATATGGTTACGCACCTTTATTTTTAATATTCTCTGGTTAGGTAAGTAAGTTGAATCTGGCCTAAATTATAAACACTTTCAAATACAATTGGACCGAAGACTTCTGTGTGGTCTATTCTGGCTCAACAACATAAATCAATGCCCTGGGAGGCAGACTTTGTTATACAAATAGAAGTAAATGTATTGATTACCATTAGTATCTCTAGCAATAGAAATATTCTGTACTATATATATGTATTAAGTAAAGTACAAATATCAAAACGATTTTCGATCAAGGCAATATTGCCGATGGTTCTGGTGCCGGAGATGCTCTTCAGTTGGTCACGAAGCGGCATCTGATGTCACTGTCGTTGTCATGAA